AGAACCGATAAAGCATTTCTTGTTTAGACCAGAACCCAGAAATCTTAAAGTTTTGATAAACATCCAATGGCATATAAGACATGAACTGAAAAGAAATAAGGCTCACATTTCAATCCTAGACAAAAACCCAAAAAATTTAAAGCCCCCAAAAACATAAGAATCTATAGGAAATATAACCTAATAAGAAATAAGGGGATCATTTTGCAAACCAAACATCAAACTCAGAGAACCCCAAACTCTCATAAACACAAAAAACCCAACGAGAGTATGACCTAAGAACAAAAGGAGTGACATTCTGCAACCTAAACATGAACCTATAACACCGAAACCTTCGTGAAGTCAAATGCTGAACGCCTCTGAACATATAAAAATCACCCAAAAAAGAAAAAGGAAAAAAACACTATTCACAATGTGACAGACCAGGCTAAATTGAAAACTATCAGTAGTTTCCAATGTGACTTTTCAGAACATTCCATTATCATATATCTCCCTTTCTCTCTATAAAAGGTTTCAGTACCTGGAAGAGCGCCTAGGGTTTAAAGGCCTAGTCGGCATTTTCTTTTCGGGTGTGTCTCTGGCCTTGCGTTTCAATGATTTTGCAGGAGAAGAAAGTTCAATGGAAAGATTGGTAATGCCAAACTGCTGCATTCTCTCCAAGTTCATTTTGATCCTCTCAAGTCTCAACTGCTCGTAACCCACCATCTTCTTCTCACTCTCACTCAACATTTCTGCATTTTCGTTAGGCTTTTTTTCATTGGAAGCAGAGGACGCCTGGGTTCTGCTCCTCCTCAGAGCAACCATCCTAATGACTGAGCTTCTTCTCTCTGCTCTCTCTCTCTCTAGCTTTCTCTCTCAACTTTCCCTCTCTGGATTTCCAACGGTCGACTGTTGAAAAGCATGAAACTTGGGATGGAGAGGACACCATAAGGAGCCCATTAATATCAGCGTTGTCAAAAAAGAAAAGAAAAAAAAGAGGCCATTAATATCAGTTTAGACTTTAGACGCAACATAATGATAAAAAAGTAAAACAAAGGCAATTTATCGAGAAAAAACTCTCTATTACGGGTGGTAAGGGCTCGACCGACCAGGTCTAGGTGAGACTCCAACCAGAACCGGCTTGGGTCTGGGTCGAGTCCAAGTCAATTGGTCCCCAATCGGATTTGGTTCACGTCTATAAATAAAAATATATAAAAAATATTTTATATGTTTTATAAGATTGTATATTAGGAGACCATTTCATTTTTAGCTATTAAATATAAAATTCAATAGATGAAAGTATGTCATACTGTTCGAAAAATTTTATTTTGGACTTTATATTGAATCAATGATACATCCTCAAAACCCAATTTTAAATCTAATAGTCAATGATGATTGTGACTTTCTTGAATTAAAAATAAATGGTAAATGTGTACATTTCTGCATTTTAACGGTACATAAAGAGTGTCATTTATATGTAATTTATACTAAATGTATTTGGGTCGGGTTAGCCTTGACCCAAATCCAACCCGAACCAGCTTGATAAGAACTATGTTGGAGCTGAACTTGGACCAAATTGGTTGAACGTCAAGTAGACCCAAACCAGTGATCACAAAATCAAATCGGAATGGTTAACCCGACATAGACCCAAAAGCAGTTTAACCGACCTAATCAGTAAATCGACCGATTCAACCGTTCTAACCAGGCAAGTCCTAGGTGGTCAAAAAAGTGTTGAAAAAATAAAAAATATACAGAAAAAATCTACTAAAATATGAAAAATATATAAAGAGTAATTAAAACAAAATACATTCAAATGAAGTTGAAAATTAATGAAAAAATGGATTTTAATGAATCACTTTTTGAATTAAAGTTATTAATGACCAAAATAAATTTTACTTTTTTCATAAGGTAAAGAATATTAAAAAATGCATAACAAATCAAATTTTTTATTTTTGAAAATTTATAAACATTTTTTTGAATTTTTTTTAAAAATACCGGTCAATCGCCAAAACCGTCCAAAACTGAAACTGATAGTGGCCAATTCCCATCCAACCAGACAATTAACGGTTAAATTGTCTGATTTTTCCAACAATGACCCAAACCTAAACAAAACTCGGTCGGGTCAAGGACCGCTGATTTATCATATCTCTCTCTGTACTCTTATTTATGCCTTTTAACTCTCAATAATGAAAAAAAACTAAGGGACAGAAAGAAAGACAAACCTTCTCCTTAAGAATTCCTTTAAGGAATCCCTTTAAATTTCTAGCTATAAGGTATTATATAATGGCGCATTAAAAATTATGTTTTATAGTGGTTAATCCAAATGCGAAGGTGGCAGAAATTATGGATCGTATAGGCAGAAATTATGGATGGTATAGGTAATGATATTATGTGGAATGTGAATCTTTCATATAATAGAATTTCTAATGTGGTAGCTGATCAGTGTGGGTCTTTGTTAGAATTACATAATAAGGTGTATATCCCTCGGAATGCAAAAGATGATATTATCCGGTATATAGAAAGTGATGGGATATTTTCGATGAATCCTATTATAAACTGTTTTTCAATGATCAGTGGCGATGGTCTATACCAGAAGTTGCCTAGATTTGGAAATGACCAATACCCTCCCCCTTCCCTTCCCCCCCCCCTACATAGTTCAATTTTTCATATGGTTAACAACTCAAGATAAGATCATTACTTTCGATAATATGATCAACAGATGAAAATTTCTACTTAATGTTTGCTTAATGTGTAAGAGTGATGCTGAATCTGAGCCTCATACTCTTGCATTGTCCCTTTGCTTTTAGGATTTGGTGATGGTTCTTCAAAATTATGGGGGTTTCTTTGTCAATGCCCGAAAATGTCTTAGGAATCATCATACAGCTCCTGTTTCCGAATCCCCTAAAGGTTAATAATGCTATTTGGAAGATAGCAAGAGGTGTGGTGATGTGGGAAATTTAAAAAGAAATAAATAGAAGAACCTTCGATAGGAATTGTCAGCCTTTTGAAAGAGTCTTGGATAATATTAAACACTCCTTATAGTATTCACTTGCTGTATCCAAGGAGGGGTTAACCTTCAAAACGTAATGACTATGGGAGTGGTTAGCAATTACCCTATTAGTTTTTGGACTCCACCAACTCAGGGGTCTTTCAAGCTGAACTTTGATGGAAGTTTACAAAACAACCCAAGACTATATCAGGTATTGGGGATGCTATCTATAATTGGAATGGTAACATAGTTTTTACTTATGCAGGGCCAATTGAGGTAGCTTCTGCAAATCAAATAGAGATGCTTGCTCTTCTACAGGGTTTAAAGATATTTAAAAGTAGATATCTGGGTGAATTTTGTGTTAGTGAAGGAAACTCAATGAACGTCATCAAATGGTGCAAGAGAGCGAAAAAATACGTTAGAAATTAAGTTAAGTGTGGCTGCAAGTTCTTGATTTGGTCGACGATATGATGATTTCTTTTTTGCATATTTTTAGGGAGGCCAAACTCGTTAGTTGATTCTCTAGTCAAGTTTGGTGCATCCTTACCTTCTCTTACCATTTCGAATGATATAATCCCAGTTGGGTGACTTGCTATTCTCAATAAAGGGTTTATAGTATTTGTCAAAATAATAAGAATAATATATTATATAATATATGATAATATTTTAAAAAAAAATTAATATATGATAATATTTTAATAAACAAGTCATCATCATCATCGTAACATTTAATCAACTATTTAGGGTCAGCTACACGAATTTTGATATGTCATTTTGCTCAATCAATGATCATACTTCCATTGAGACCATAAGTCCCCATATATTTTCTCACTACTTCTAACTATGTTTTTTTGAGCTTACCCATTGTTTTTTGTTAGCCTTCCATTTGAATCAACTTGCACTTCCTAACATGTGCTTTACTGGATCTATAATGCACATGACCAACCCACTTAAGTCTACTCTTTCTTATCTAAAATAGTACTTCTATTATATTAAATTAAATAGCACATTTGATATATTCGAGTCGGTTTGTGTCCGGGTCTGGATTTGGGTCCGGGTTTGAATTTGGGTCCAAGTCTAGAAGTAGGCCCAATTGCGATTGCTCAAGACCATCTATTTTTGCATGGATATTTTGAAAAAAAAATTAAAAAGAATGGGCAAAGTATTAAATTCTTTATAAATAATTTGATAAGTTTTTCAATAAACAAAGAGAGTGCTTAGGGCTTGGGGCTTGTCACTCCTTTTACTTGCATACAATGACTCTTTTGGTGGTCTACATAGAGGATCGGCGATGAGGTTAAATGAGTCAGAAACCTTATAAGTTAACCATGACCAAGAATTTAATACTTTATTTATATATGTTGATTTGATTTCAAAATAGTCATGAAAATATATATGGCTACGAGTTGGGGTAGTTCCACTACCAAATGGATTAGATGTTAAATATTTTATCGCTTATATTTTTTTTTTGATAAATTTACCAAATGGATTTATTGTAAAATGATTTGCTTCTACTGCAGTATACTGCCCATTTACTCCTTCAAATAAAATTCCGTACTCGTACTGGCCATTTAGGAACCTGAAAATCTATTACATAAAAATAGATTACACGAAAATATGACATTACCTGAAAATCTATTACATGAAAATAGATTACTCTAAAATATGACATTTCTATTGGTTAGGTACATGGTAAAGAAATGAAAAAAGATTATCCAGCGAAATCTTTCGGGCGCCTCTTTCTACCAAAAAGAAAAAAATTCTTCAACTCGTAGCTAAAATGTTGTAGCCTATCTTCTGCAACCAATAGCTACCTTTGCTAACTGAATCGCTCATACATTTAAACATAAAAAATCACACAGCAGCTCCATCTTCTTCAAAGCTAAAACCCGTCAACTCCATCTTCTTCAACTAGCAGTCGGCAGCCTCATCTTCTTCAACTAGCACCTAAAATTCAAAGCTAAAACCCTTCAGCTCCATCTTCTTCAACTAGCAGCCGGCAGCCTCATCTTCTTCAACTAGCACCTAAAATCCAGTAGCCCATCTTATTTTTTGGCTTTATTTTTTTTTTTTGCTGTTATTCTTTGCTGATAAATTCGAAATACTTGAGTTCACTCATAAAAATCGTCAAATCAGTGTGCTTGAATTGTTTTTTTTTTTTCAGAATTTTTTTAAATTAATTTACCTCTTCAATCTCCTCCAATGCCGCAACATAATTTGTCCTCCAATACATCTCATTTAGTCATAAAGCCTTCAAGGTATTCTCCAAACTTTTTTTTCTTTTGAATTTTCCCATGGAAGTTTTCTGCAGAGATGATCGAAAGGTTTTAGCACAAGAAAAGAAAACACAAAAACTATGATGGCTTATCATAATAAAAGTATGTTATTCCAAAGTGCTAACATCTTGAAAACATGTGATTCCAAGTCAAGACGCAAAGGCATACTAATTCTTATGCTTGATGCAATTATTAAAGTTTAAGCTACATACTAAATAGAGATAAAGTTTAAGCTACATACTAATAGGGATTGTATGGTCAACCATGTTTTGGGTATAAAGCCAAAAAAAAAAAAAAATTGTTGGTAATGCATTTATCATATTTTTTCAGGGTAACAACATATTTCCCAAGTTGCATCTAAATACTACCAAATAGAGGTATTACACAGTAATGTATTATGTCAATAATATATTTCTGAGACAATATATTTCTAGGTATCCAAACGGCCCCTTTGTCCCATCCACTTTTTAAATGTAACATTTAAGTGTTAAAAAACTCTAAGGAAAAAAAAAAATTGCTCATATGGGATCATAAGGTTCATTTGCTCCGTAAAGGAAAAACTCATGTTGGGAATAACTTTTGGACCAGTTGGGGATGCAACCTCTAGAACCTAATTGCCATCATCAAAGAGGGAAAAATAAATAGGGCTCTCCATGTGATTCAAAAAATTAATGTCCCAAGATTGGACAAGAACCATCTAATTTTTTGAGTGCAAGATTTAGGTATTCAAGAACTTAAAATTCCAATTTATTTTTTTTCAAAATAATCATATGACGACACTTAAATGGAAAGAAAACCCTCCCAAGTTACTCTTTGAAAACCCTCCCTAGTTACTCTTTTTCTCAAGGGAGTTGTTGTACAGTATTGTAGACACCCAATTTTGAATTTGGTTGTAAACAACTATACTCCGGCAAGAACATGCTATATGTGCTCAACTCTAAATCCAAATTTATGTTTTTTTAAAAATAGTTACAATTAAGTGGATCCCAAAAGTTTAGATCAAATAATCATCCCAAGTAGCTCTTTTGCCCAAGGGAGATATTAGACATTATGTTCGCAGGGGCATGCTCAAGTTTATGCAGAATTTTCTTAATTAAAAACGATTAAGTGGATCCCAAAAGTTTACATCAAATAATCGTCCCAAGCAGCTCTTTTGCCCAAGGGAGATATTATACATTATGTTCGCAGGGGCATGCTCAAGTATATGCAGAATTTCCTTAGTTAAAAGTAGATTATTTTTGTTCAGCGTGTACAACAAGCTTCCTTGGAGCACTTTGTACACTTACTCCCTCAGAGCCCTTCGTAGTTCGTACACTTACTATCCACCTAGAAGGATTTTTTGTACCGAAACTTTAGGATCCACCAAAAAATCACCACATGATTAATTGTAGAGAAAAAAATTACAGCTATTAAAAGTTTAGATCTATCCATCCAAAATTTTGCAATCTTCTATTAAATTATAAGACATTGCAAATGAAGCGGATACAAGTATTAGAGTATGT